TGTTAATGTTTTACACGAATCGAATCATCCAGTCCTGAAAAATCTTGAGATTTGTGTTTGCTAGTGAAAACCAGCGCCAAATAATATCTTACGCGTTCCTGCCGGTGAGCTTGACCATCAAGCACCAAATTTGTACCAGTGGACACTCGAATCGAAACTTCGATGATTCCAAGTTTTTCTGGAAATCGGATCATTCAGTCCTGAGAAAGTGCACTTTGCGTGAAATCAGGGTCAAAACAGAATCAAAACGACCCCTAAAGGCTAACTCGCCAAAAACTCGATGTGATGGCCCCAAACCACAAGCTTTTTTATCGCGTTTGGTCGCTGATTCGTTTGATGTGACTCACGTGTCGGGGCGCTCAGCCGTTGCCGCCGCCGTACGAGACCAAATGGTGCTGATTTTACAGTACCTCCTTTATTACTACGGTATGCCTACAGTATGAAAATGGCGCTTCCCCAGTAACTTGCTCGTCTGGTCCCAAATTTTGATCGGGTGATGGTACTGTAGACCCAATTCTCCATTGATGTTAATTTTTCGCGCGAATCGCATCACCCAGTCCCGAGAAATCTTGAGATTTGTGTTTGCTAGTGAAAAACCAGCGCCAAATAATATTTTACACGTTCCTGTCGATGAGCTTGACCATCAGGCACCAAATTTACACCAGCGTACACTCGACTCGTATTGTAACATTGTGATTCCGAGATTTTTGGAAATCGGATCACTCAGTCCTGAGAAAATGCATTTTGCATAAAATCAGGACCAAATTCATCATTCAAGGTCAAAATCGCTTATCGAAACAATCGACAAAAATCCAGCAAATCACTTTTTATGCCAAAACCAGATGATAAGCCCTTAATTTTTATATCGTTTCGTAGATATACCGGTAAAACAAGGCATGTTTACCCAGGGTATGAGTGGCATGGCGATCCGAGTTCCCAATATTTACTGCCGTAAAATGCCGACTTTGACCCCCTTGCAAAATCGCTAGAAAATCCCAATTTATGAAAATCGACACTGCTCACAATCATATGCCCGCCGCTCCATGAATCTTAATGTCATTTGTGCATTTTGGATGCTTGCTTTTTGAAAACAAAGTAAAAACCGGGGGTTGATCTGGCGGTTGACGAGAAAATCGATGTTTTTCTAGAAATTCACAATTTCGGCCCTGGCGCACTAAATTGTTATTCAATCATGCTGATACTGTAGCTTGCAAGTGTAAAGAGACGCGCGCGGGAGTCATTTTACTGTATATTAGCACAATACTGTACTGTAAAGCAGATGCGCAACCTTTGTACTGTACACCTGCGGCGCCAGATTTAAAATTTCAACATCAATTTTCTCGGGAAGGAACAATGTAACCCACAGCAAACTTGCAGTGATAAAAATGCAGAATTTGATTCTCTGTTAAATAAGACCAGTTTCACTGGCGTGAGATCAAAACTGGTCAAGAAATTCACGTTTCTTAGATTTGACGTTAATCGCTTTTTTCTCGCGACCCGTCAAGTCAACCCCCGGTTTTTATTGCAGATTCGATTAGAAAGAGATGGTCAAGACATCTAATGACATGACTCTCAAAGCGCTGGTGCGTTGTTTGCCAAATGGATTTGAGAAATCGGTCTGAGCTTGAACCTCTCAAAGCGGGGGACCCTCCAGATGCATTTTGACCCGACCAACTTTTTTTCCCAAATTCGAAAAAAATCATTTCACCACCAAGTATTCATTGCAGCGCCACGAAACTTCCCCACCTATACTGTAGAATTTGGCTTCTCTCTTTTCAGAAAAATTAAAACCCCGATATCGATCAGCTGGTTCGGCGACAAAATTGACATTGCTAAAAATTTGGCTGTGGCGCGTTTTATAAAAAATTATTTCGCGGCAAAATCGTATTTTGATCACCGCGAAATTATAACAAAAAAATAGTCGATTTGCGCCTCTATTTGCAGATGAACGCTGAAAACCGGGGGTCAATCTGTCCGCTGTCAAGGCAATCGCCAATTTTATGAAATTCAGCATTTTCAATATATACGCCAAAATCAGGCGTTGGATCATTGTCAAAGCAGTGCTATTAAAACATTTTCGCGCGTTTATTTTCAAACTTCGTTAAAATCCAGAGCCAGCAAGCCGAATTGTCGACAATTTTGAAAGCTTGGCTATTTTCAACGATTTTCACAACTTCAATTTGATAAACCACAAATCACGTCTCCAAACTTTTGCGGTAGGATCTTGTTTTTGCACGCCTTTTTTAACAAGCCATTGAAAACCTGAGATCGATTGGGTCGTTGTGCAAATGAATCCAAAGTATCGACATTTTCACAATTTGGTACTGCCTTGACCAATTTCTTCTTCGATCGCAATGAACCCTACATTTTTCGAATCAGACGGGCTCGGACGTCATTTCCGGAATGTTTTTTTGGCCCATGCGTGACCTCTGTACGCTTGTGAAATCCATTCAAACATTTCAAATATTTTCAACCTCGATGTTCTCGACAACGAAAAGGACAACTCATGGCGCTTTTAACGTATCGTAAGCAGCTGCCGAATCTCCATCGAATAAGACCAGTTTCACCGCTGGATAGCCAAAACTGACAGAGAAAATCCACTTTTTCTACTAAATACTTAATCGCGATTTGTTCGACAACGGTCTAGTCGACCCCCAATTTTTATTTCAGTTTTACTAATAAACAGGAGGCAAAGTATTTAATGGGATGACTTGCAGCGCGCCAGCCTGGGTTTGAGCTTTTTGCATCGGTCATTTCACAAGGCTGCTGCAGCCCACTCAACGCACAAAAATTGCAAAATAAAAAAAGTAAAAAAAAAGTAAAAAAATAAAAATTCCATGCAATCCACCACCTTAATTTGAAAGTGTCAAACCTTAAATTTTTGCAAAAAAATCTTGCGCAAAGTAGGCACTTTTTTCAGACGATCGGCGTTCATGCGTCTCTCTCTGGGCTTTTTTCTTAGGCTGGGGCGACCTGCCACTTTGTCCGCCAATAGCAAATACTCGGAGTTACCTGTTTGGGATGCATTGATCACTCGGAGCTCGAAATTGTCTGTTTTTGGGATTTAAATATGTGACCCCTGAATTTTTAAAAAGTGGTCAGCGCTTTTTTGGGACTTTAAGCTTTTTTGTTGCAAATTTTGCGCTGAACACGATGCGTCTGTTTTTGAGCAGGGTCAACCACGCAGATGGTGAGATGAATGCTAAATAGTACAAACCTGACGTTTTTGGCATTCTCGAGTCCAAAAAAATTAGGCGGGCCACTATTGAACACTGGGCCATAATTTACGCCGTGACGCATCTTTCATTACCGGGCAGGTAGGCTGTAAAAAAAAATTCTGGAGGCACAGCAGGCCGGCAAAATCTGAAAATCGCGCTCTTTGATTTTTTAAAGGTAAATGTGCGCGTTTTTGTGCAGTTTAGCGCGGTGCTTCAGGCATTGAAATAAAAGTACGCGTCAGGTTCTGTCCAATGAGCGTAAAGAATATATGGATCAATTCGTTCAAACACCCATACGGTATTTGCGTGTAAAATCCACAAAATCATGCTTTCGTGCATTTTCTCGGGCGCTAGCTGGCCGATTTTTTTTCAAACAGATACAGGAGGACACGGTGCGCTTGCAAGCACGCCTCGTCAAATCTGATGGATACAGTATATCGGTAGCGTCGTGAAACACACAATGCATATTTTACTTGGTGATTTGGGCTTTTAAAGGCATACTCGTTCTAGGAGGTGTCAGTCATACCGAGTAAAAAACGTTCCCTGTTGCCGTCTCCGCAGTCCGCTCTATCCTACCTGGATGGCTTGCATTTTAAAGATTGAAATGAAGCACAAGATCAGAAGATTATAAAAAAATCGAGTCTTGAAGCTGTTTCCAAGGCGTGCGCTTTTGAAAACGAGTTGATGGAAGCACGGCACAGGGCCGTTGCGATGCAGTGAAGAGAAGGGTTCATGCAACATGTCGACATGTGCGCGCGTGGCTCAAATTTCAGAGGTTAGTGTTGAATTTCATGCAAAATCGCCAGTTGTGAGACATCAAGGGCCTTGTTGTAAGAAATCAAGTAAAAATAACCACAAATTTGGCATTCAAAAAAATCATAAACGGGGGTTACGGTGGCGATGCAACGGATTGGCTAGTTCGTGTCAAAGCGTATAGCAAATCGCAGCGTTGCGTTCGCGGTTTGCGTTGCGCATCAAGCAAACGCGTTCAGGAGGAATAAGCACAGCACTCGGTGCTTGTATATGATGTGTACAAAAGTGCGCCCTTGTCGGAGTCAACAGCCAGCATCGGGGTGTGCACAGGTGCAAAAGTAGACATGTCATTTTCACAAATGTCAACGAAAACACGTCCAAATCGCCTCATTTTTGATTCAAACAAAAGCCAAAGACCAGGAGCACTCGATAATGCAGGAAAAACAGCAAAAAAATTGACAAAATTTAGCATCAAAAAGGGTTGATTTCAAAACTTTCTATGTTACGGCCATACGATTCTGAAAGCGCCAGATCCCGTCCGATCTCTGCAGCGATCCAGAATACGGCCTGGTTAGTACTGCGGTGAGAGATCACGCGGGAATACCAGGTGCTGTAATTTTTTTGTTTTGGCGTCGTAGTCATCGTTCATGTTTTGGCAAAAAGCAAAAAGAGCGAGCGTGAGGCGAGCGCAAAGGCGATGTGGCAGTGTTTTTTTTTTTTTTTTTTTTGGTTCCCGCACCGACTGTGTTACTTTTTTTGTTTGCATCGTGCTTGTGAGTCGATCGACACATGGGTCCGTTCACAATGGATGAAAGCAATCGAGTGTGTGAGTGGCATTGGGCACTCTGATATTGCATGTCTTTTTTTTTTTTTTTTTTTTTGGGAGTAGTAGGGGCCGTGGCAGCTAGCAGCATGTCCAACTAGCAACCAATGGGTGTGTCGTATTAAGCGGCCCAAATTTCGGCCCGATATTTTAGCCGAAAATGTTGAAGAAGCGCCATGAGGGGAAAATTTTGTCACCAATTATTGGCGCTGGTAGTGTAGTGGCAACATATTAGCCTTCCAAGCTGAGGCCCGGGGTTCGATTCCCCGTCAGCGCATAATCGTCATTATTTTTGCTTCGTGAATATTGCTTTTTTTTTTTTTTTGCTCGACAAGGATGAATCGCGTGTATTTCTTTTTATCCTTTCATCTTTTTTTTTTTTGTGTGTGTGATCGTAGTCATGGCAACAGTGTCTGGCATATGATTTCATTTTTATGGATGCATATTGTTACATTTCAAGACCCGTTGACTCATGATGACGATAAAATGAAGAATGATTTTATTTCGACGGTTGATGCGTGGGTATAGAGAGATGAAGGGGGTATTCCGTGCTGCCATAGCAGCGGCGTCACTCGCTGCGCTCTCTCAGCTTTTGTTGCAAGTGTTGGCCGAGATACGCGCGAATGTCTATGTAATAAAAAGGAAAAGTTAGGGTTGGTTGCTATGTACCAAGTTGCGTGTACCTTTTTCTGTCATGGCGTCGTGTAGGACGAGGATGCCTTTGGTTGAGGTATTATCGCTTGCGCGGTGGTAGTCGTGTTCCGGGACAATAAGAGTGGGCAGTATGCCCCACCAGCGTGCAGGCTCAAGGTGTGGCAGCCATTGGGCAAATTGAGTGGCCACGCGGTCCTGGTCGACGTCTGGATGGCACATGAGCAGGGGTTGGCGCAAGATGGCGGTCGGTGTCCAGGTGTTTTCGTTGTGATTCGCGTTTTGATAGTGGCGATGATGTTCCTGGTAGAGCGCGTCGGCGAATTGTTGCTGCAAGGACCGCGCAGGGTGCCTGTGGAGCCGCTGGCGCAGGTGAGCGACCGTGTCGCGCACGGCCTGGCGGTCGGAAGGCTGAATAGGCACAGCAAGATGATCACACAACTCAAAAAAGTCCTGGACCGTGGGCCACACGTCCCCCGGGGCTTGAAACACGACCGACGGCGCCTGCTGCTGTTGCTGCTGCCCTTTGTTTCCCTTGCGGAAGAAGCGAAGCGTGATGGGGTCGCTTTGCTTTTTGTGCGTTTCTTGCTGCTGTGGTCGTAAAATAGGGTGCAACACGTCGTAAAGCTGCTGGAGCGCCTGCGCATTGTGCTTTTTCTTGCTGGCGTCGTGCACAAAAAAATCCGGGTGCACCTGAAGCACCACCTTGTTCAAATACGGCTTGATCAGCGCCGCCGCGCGAGGGACGTGCTTCGCCATAAAGAAGAAAAAAGAGAAAAAGAGAACGAAAAAAAGAGAAAAAATGGGATGAGGCTTATTTTGCGTTCCCTTCCCGATGTGAAGCTGAAAAAGGGAAGCGCGGCGCGACTTTTTTTTTTTTTTTTTTTCATTCCTCGCTCTTTTCTCTTTTATTCCCTTTTTCATTTTTTCTCTCGCCTTTTTTTCAATGAAGCGACCAGAACAATTTGTGACTGTACTAGTAGAACAGGTGTTACAAAAGCGGCCGCGCGTCACCGTGCTAGACACGTAAGCACACTAGAGACATGGAGACATACACAAAACACACGCAGAAAAAAAAAGGAACCAAAGAGACGCTCCATGGCAGAAGTATGTTGATGGCCACGTTTTTTTTTATGTTTTATAGATACTCTCAAGAGGACCTTGCGTACCAGGGTGCACTGCTGTCGCAGCTGGAGGAGGTGAACAAGCATTTTGCACATTTGCCGCTTTCTGTGGTGGAAGCGAAGCGCGCCAGCCTGCTTCAATGCATCCGCAGCCTGCCGAAAGAGGCGTCCTTCCAAGAGCAGTACGAGCACCTGTTCCGGCGCGACGACGGCCTATTTGACAACCTGACGACGCGGTTTATCAGCGTGCACGCGGTAGTTGGCTCCGACGACGAGATTGACATGGATGATCCATCCAACGTGTCCGAACTGTTTGCCGAGGCAACGCAGAAATTCATCAGCATCCTAGAGGACGAGGGCGTGGATCTCGAGAATAGCAGTGGCGGCGACGATGATGATGAAGAGGAAGAGGAAGATATCATCGAGGAAGAGGACGATGACGATGACGACGAGGCCGACGATGATGACGACGAAGAAGCCGAGGTCGAAGATGAAGATGAAGAGGACGACGAAGAGGGAGATCAGGTCGAGGATGACACCGAGGAACGCGACCCAAGTTCGATGCAGGACGACGATCTCGACACCGACAATGACACTCCCGTCAAACGACGCTTCCAGCCAGACGATGACGATGAAGAGGATGAGCTGGATGAACTCAATGACGATGAAGATGACCAGGCACACAAGCGACGAAGAGCTGACTAGGCCTCTATCCCCCCTTTTTTTCTTTTACCCCTCTTCTTTTTTTTTTCTTTCCATCCGTTCATTTCCCTTTTGTGTACATTTTGATTTCTCTTTTCTTCACTTGGTTCTCTTGCTTTTCACAGCCACAGGCCATCCCCACCACCTCATGTTCATAGCGCGTCATGCATGATTTTTCGATTTTTTTTCTGTTTTTACCATTGACAAATAAAAAAAGTCCCTCTCCCTCGTTGGATTCTTATGGAGCATATGTCTGTACGTGCTGTCGCTTGATTTAATTATTGGTATTGGTAATCACGCAGCTCAAAGTACGTGCTTGCAAACAAGGAACATCGCACCGACACGTCCCAATCGATGTGCTCGAGGAATCGTCGCTCGATCATCTCCCTAGATAAAGAGGAAAAAAAGGGAGTGAATGGAGGCGCCATGGGTTTGCATGAATGCGACGCGACGCGTCCACCTTTGCCACGTGGTCGTGTGGCCCAGGGGGGGTGAAAGTGTCGCACACGCGTACACAAAGCCAGGAGACGTGCAATTGGGCCATTTTTGTTAAAAAAAACTTACACGTGATGGATATCGAGCTCGGGGAAGATTTGGACGAAATCTGAGTTGTAGACGGCGCAATCGTCCCAGACCTTGACACACGTGATCAAACCAGCAAGCAGGATCAGGCGCCAATTCACCTCACAGAGCTGCTGCCGCGAATTCTCCAGCATACGGTCAATGTAAATCATGGTGATAATCGCATGTTCGGCGCTCAACTACACTCACATGAATAAAATAAAAAAGGGGGGAATTGTGTCAGCCGACCTTTTTTCGTGTCGTTGCCTCTTTTTTTTTTACTTGTTTCCATGGCACGAATGCCTCACTTGCCTCGCCCTTATCAAACACATAGGCCATCTGGTGGAAGATATCACGCCACTCGGACACAGGCTTGGCATCAAAGAGCGCCTTGTTGTAATCGCCCGGCTTGAGATTTGGATGTGCCACGTACGCCGTGTCTGAGGTGAACCGCTGGTACCGGTGATTCCGGCGCATCGTGTCGTACAAGCTCCAGGCCACACTAATTCAAAAAAAAAGAAAATCAAGCGACCGAAAACGCGTAAAAAAAAGAAAAAAAATAACCGAGCGCGTCCCACCCCACTAAGTGGCCGTGGAGATGTTTTTCCTGTTTCTCGTGCCAATTTCGTTTTTTTTTTTTTTTTCATCTCTTTTACCTCTTAAGAGTCATGGCGATGCGTTCCCTTGGCTGCTGTTTTTCATGGAATTTTTGTTGCCACTGGAGGGCAAAGGTGGTGGAAGACGCGGTGTGCGAGGTATATTGCGCAAGGTCGTCGACATCGACGCTTTTGCGCCTGATTTTGGAGGCGAGGCCGTGTTTTAAAAAGGGAACCGACAGCTCATGGTTCATGGCGGACTCTGTTTTGCTGGTGGGCACGGGGCGCAGGCGCGTCAGCGATGCCGGCGGGCTCCAGGGCGTCTTGAGATTATGCGCATCGTCGTGCAAATTGTCATCGTCATCATCATCGTCGTCGTCATCCTCTTCCTCATCCATGTGAACATCGTCATCGTCGTCATCATCATCGTCGTGTAGATGTGCCACGGGCGGCGGCGCGGCGTGCAGAGCAGACGCGTCATAGAGCAAATCGCGGTGGACAAATGTCAATGGCGAGTGAGTCGCGTCTTTTTGTGTCAATGGATGGTACGTGGCTGGTCCTGAAGCTGTTGTTGTGCCTGTAGGTGTAGCAGTGGAGGTGCATTGGGTGGCTGAATGGGCAAATGGAGGCAGCATGTTCTTGTCCATCATGGTGGTCAAGGGCCCAATCGAGTCGACATCGTCGGAATCGCTCAAATCGCGCATGGCCACGGGAAGAGGCGACAATGCCTTTTTATTAGTCGATGTCTTTTCCGTCTTTTCTGTCTTTTCCGTCATTTTTGGTGTTGCTGCCGTGATGGTGCTGGCGTCGTCGCTGTTGGTTGTGCTGGCCTGGCCCAATTTGGCATGGATCACGTGATTGGATGCTGAAGGGTGCACGGACGCACTTTTTAGGGAGGGCATGGTGTAGGCGCTGGACAGGGGCAGGGTCCGCTGCGGCGGGTGCAGCAAATGCCGCACTTTGGCGCCCAAGCGCGACAAGAAAAACGATAGACTGCGTTTGTACCGCGGGTTTTCTTGTTTTTGTGGTGGTTGCTTGCCAAAAGCGTGCAATTGGCCTGACGACGCGGTGGTGGTGGTAGTACTTGTCGTGCTGTTGCTGTTGCTGCTGTAATGGCTGTTCGAGGGCCAATCGGAAATATTTTTTTTCTTACCGGTTTGGCCCTGAGGTGCCAATGCCTCGCGTTCTCCTTCCCGATGATACCCCGCCGCATGCAATTCATCGTGATGCGATTGGTACATGGGCGCCACGGACGTTGGTTTGCGTCGTGGATAAAATGGCAGCCATTGGCGTTGCGCATTGCCCTTTTTCGATACCGATGGCGCGTGAGCATGCAACTGTTGCTGTTGCAATGGCTGCTGCTGCTGCTGTAACAATTGTTGTTGTTGCTGCTGCTGCTGCCGGTAGGCACGCGGTGAAAAGGGCGTCGGCGACGAGTACATGGTTGCGGTGGCCATCTTGTTGGTCATTGTCGTTGTCTTTGCGCGTGGTGGGATGGCCACATGTTGTTGGGGTGGCGCCGGACGCTCATCACCACCGCGCAATTGATTGGCAAGCAGCCACGAGTGCATCAGCTGCTGGCACAACGGCACCGCCTCGGATGGCACCGACGACGAGATCGCCTGGTCCAGCTTGGGCAGCGC